CTGGCTTCAAACCTCTATCCTCTTGATCTCTGCCTCCTGAGTAGATAGGATTACAGGCATGTATTTTTTAATCTAAATTTATTTTTTTATTGTTGTAAATGAGTGGGGGTACATTGTGACACCCACAAAAGTTCTTAAAATATAACAAATATATCATACTTGAATTCACCCCCTCCATCATCCTCCTTTATTCCCCCCTCCCCCATCCTGGAATAGTTTAAACAGGTATCATTTTTCCATTTACATACATATGTACACAATATTTGCACTGTATTCATTCTCCTACACCCTTTCTCCACCTCCTCCCTGCTCCCTTTGGTACCAACACCCCACACAGGGCCTGTTCCACCCTCCTGTTCTCTGATTTTTTGGAAAAAAAAAAAGAGAAAGAAAAAAAGAAATAACATTTTTGTTTAAGATAGCTGCACAGAGAGTTTCCTTGTGACATTTCCGTGTATGTATATATTATAACCCAAATTGGTTTATCTTCTCTATTTTTCTTATTTCTACATTAGTCCCCCTTCTTAGGGTGATTTCAACAGGTTTAAAAATTCTATATTCTTTCTTGTACAGAGAGTATATCAACCATATTCACCTTCTTGACTTCTTTTTTTTTTTACCTTTTCCTTCTCATATATGACCTCCCCTTAGCAAGACCTGTTTTTCATAAATATTGCTATGTTAGATCTATATTCCACATATGAGAGAAAACATGAGGTGTTTGGCCTTCTCAACCAGGCTAACTTCACTTAAGATGATGTTCTCCAGTTCCATCCATTTACCTGCAAACAATAACAAAATTTCATTCTTCTTTGTGGCTGAATAAAATTCCATTGTGCATAAATACCACATTTTCTTAATCCATTAGTCAGTAGCGGGACATCTTGGCTGTTTCCATAGTTTAGCTATTGTGAATAATCCTGTAATAAACATGAGTGTGCATGTGCCTTTATTGTAACCTGACTTACATCACTTTGGGTATATCCCTAAGAGTAGAATTACAGGATCATATGACAGTTCTATTTTTAGTTTTGTGAGGAGCCTCCGTACTATTTTCCATAGTGGTTGTACAAATTTACATTCCCATCAGCAGTGTATGAGGGTTCTTTTTTCCTCACATCCTTCCCAACATTTGTTGTTGTTCTTCTTCTTGATGGTAGCTTTTCTAACAGGAGTGAGGTGAAATCTTAGTGTGGTTTTGATTTGTATTTCCTTTATGGCCAGGGATGTTGAGCATCTCTTCATGTGTTTTTTAGCCATTTGGACTTCTTCCTTTGAAAAAGCTCTGTTCAGTTCATTTGCCCATTTCTTCACTGGGTCATTGATTTTGGGGGAGTTTACCAAAAGCAATCTACATGTTCAACATAATTCCCATCAAAATTCCAATGACATTCATTACAGAGATTGAAAAATCAACCTTAAAATTCATTTGGAAGCACAAAAGACCACAAACAGCCAAGGCAATACTGAGTAAAAAGAAACATTGGAGGTATTCCAACACCCAACTTCAAACTATACTCAGAGCCATAGCAATAAAAACAGACATAAAGACCAGTGGAACAGAACAGAAGACCCAGATATGAATCCACACAGCTACACCCACCTGATTTTGACAAAGATGCCAAAAATATATGATGGAGAAAAGACAGTCTCTTCAACAAATGTTGCTAGGAAAACTGGATATTTGCATGCAGAAAACTCAAACTTGATCCATTTCTTTCACCCATTACAAGTATCAACTCAAAGTGTATTAAGGACCTTAATATAAGACCTGAAAATTTGAAGCTAGTGCAGGAAAAAACAGGGAATACATTGGAATTAATAGGCATAGAAATGACTTCCTAAATAGAACTCAAATGGTTCAGCAACTAAGAGAAAGGATTGACAAATGAGACTACATGAAATTAAAAAGCTTCTGCACAACAAAAGAAATGGTCACTAAATTAAAGAGGCTGCTCACAGAATGGGAGAAAATCTTTGCCAGCTATACATCTGACAAGCGATTAATAACCAGAATATCCAGGGAGCTCAAGAAACTAAACTCTCAATAAATTTACTTTTTAAATTGGTACATGAAAACATACATGGCCAGGCACCAGTGGCTCATGCCTATAGTCCTAGCTACTCAGGAGGCAAAGATCAGGAGGATAATGATTCAAAGCCATCCCTGGCAAAGAGACCCTATTTCAAACATAAAAAGGGCTGGTGGAGTGGCTCGAGTGATAGAGCTCCTGCCTAGTAAGTGTGAGGCTCTGAGTTCAAACCACAGTACCAGGAAGAAAAAAAATAAGTGTTTATGGGGTATCCATGTATGTGATGTTTTCATGCATGTATACATTGTATAATGTTTAAGTCAGGATAAACATATCTATCTGCTTAAATATGTTTCACATCTTTATGATGAAAACATTCAATATCCTTTCTTTTTGCTTTTTGAGATATACAGTACATTTTCATTACCTACAATCAGTATAGATATACTGTACAATAGTGCACCAGAACTTCTTGTTCCTATCTAACTATAACTTGGTACTCATTGACCAACCTCTCCTAATCCTCCTATCCCACTGCTGTCCCCAAACTCTGGTAACCAACTTCTCTGAGATCAATTTTTTTAGCTTCCCCATGAGTAAGATCATGTAGTACTTGTCCTTCTGTTCCTGGCTTATTTAATCTAACATGATTTCCTGTTCCATCCATATTATTACAAATGACAGGATTTCATTTTTCTACTTCTTTTATTTTATTTTATTTTTGGTGGTTGGTGGTACTGATGTTTGAAGACAGGGCCCTTGCTTGCTAGGCAGGTACTTTACCACTTGAGCCATATCTTCAGCCCTAGAATTTCATTCTTTTCAATAGCTGAATAGTATTTAATTTCATTGTACATACGGCCTACATTGTCTTTGTCATTGATCCATTGATAGACACCTAGGCTATTGTGAATAATGCTGCAGTGAACATGGGAATGTAAGGTGTCTCCTTTGGCTATATACTCAGTAGTGAAATTGCTGGATCATATGGTAGTTCTATTTTCAATTTTTTAAAACATTTTTGTAAGTAGTGCAGATTTTTTTTCTCACTTTGTGGCTTGCCTTTTTAGTTTCTTTCTTTTTTTGGCAGCAGTGGGATTTGAACTCAGGGCCTCACACTTCCTAGGCAGGTGCTCTTACTGCTTGAGCCACTCCACCAGCTGTATTTTCAATTTTTTGAGGAACCTCCATACTGCTTTCCATTATGGCTATCCAGGAGCTCTCTCTCTTTATTGGTAACCTAAGTCCTCCTTTCCAACTCATAAGTGTAAGTGAGTTGAGTTTTAGGTGGCACCACTGTCTAGTTAAATCAGTGCAGAGGATGATTAAAAAGAATAGGCCTAACAGGGGAGGGTTTGGGATTTGGATTTTTCTCAACAGCCCCAGACGTAGAGCAGAGCACATAGGACACCTGAACCCATATGCTGAATTAAATTAAACACTCCACCCCCAAAGAAGACCAGGTGGCCCTTCCCTATAGCTCTTTTCCTACAAAAACCCTTCAGAAATATGTCCAAGCTTTTGAGTCGATAAGAAGGAAGAATAAAGCAGAGTGGCTTAAGTGGTAGAGCACCTGCCTTGCAACTATGAGGCCCTCAGTTTAAACCCCAGTGCCACCAAAAAGACCCAAAAACTCATGAATAAGAGGAAAGAATAGGAAGGAACATGACCAGACTCAGTACCTCACTGGGGTGCAGGGAAATCAAGACGACAGTTCTGAAAGCAGCCCAACTGAGGCTTCCTAATAGAACAGACTCCCAGAACCCTACAGTCATGGGGAAAAGGAAGAGATAAGAAAGGGGATGTCCTGAATTTCTGGACGAGTCTCCAGGGAAAATTAATTTCAATATGATCATAACTTTCCCAAAGGAACTGAACCCTGCTTGGCTGATCTAAAAGTTTCTCAGTAACCAAAGAACTTTATCTGAATTCCCCAGCATCTGTATTTGGCTAGGATCCCAGCACTGGCACTCTGTTGCCTCCAGCATCTTTATCCTCAACCCTCAGTACTGTTGACCACACCCCTTAGGAAACTTTGTTTTCTGTTACAGTTGCCATAAAGTCACAGTTGTTTATTTTTGCAAGGAAGTAATAGAGGATTCTGTAGAAGCTGGAGAGTGTGGCTGTTTACACTGGATTTCTAGGTTCCCCTCTCATATCACTACCTGGAGACTGTGGTCCACTTGGGTTCTGATTGTCTGGAATTTGCATGGAACTAAATCAATTCCTTCAAAGTCAGCAGAATTTCCCTGAAGAAGGCAGCTGGATTCAGAGTGAGGTGAGTGTTGTCTACTTTAATGATACTCATTAATGTTTTCACTTTCTTAATTCCCTCACATGTTCAAGAGGCAGGAATCCTTTCCTAGAAGGCAAGAATCAAGAAAGACAAGAGCCTTTGCCAACATAACTCCCTATTCGCCCACATAAATGCGAACCCTGTGAGGCTGTGCCAGGGAGAAACTCTTCAGGCTAGCAGTCCTGTTTCCAAAAATGTTCTCTCCAAACCAGTTTATGATATCTATCAAAAAGTACTGAGTGTCTTGGTGCGCTCATCCCTGCCAAGGAGGGATCTGTGTCTTTCTTCCCCCAACCCCCTTCAATGTAGAAGTCCTTTCAGGAAAACAGAGGACATTAGGAAATCTATTGTTGTAGTTGTGACCTCAGTTTTACTTAATCAGAACTTGGGTTAACTCCACCAGCATCCTGGTGTTTCTTGACTGTAAAGTACTACTCATGTAAAGTGAAAATCTTACATGAGTAGATGAGAAAATAAAAACTATTCACGCCCCAAGGATGTCTGTATGAAATTCTGCAATAGGTGATTGTAGAGGAATGTGATCTGTGAATGGGTATACAAGAATAGAAGAGGGCTGTTATCACTTATTCTAGGATTAATAACTGGATATGAAGTGAAAGTGATCACCCTTTCTCTTCCAAGATAATTTTTCCTTTGTTTCCATTAGATTCCTGGTGGTGACTTTTCTCCCATCATGTCAAGGTATGTCTCATTTTGCGTGACTTTCTGTCCCCAACAGGGATGGCAAAGCCACACTATGGAGATCGTGGAGATGCCTCTCTGCCAAGCTTCTTCATCATCTTCATCTTCCTGCAGCTCCTGCCCACTGGGAACGGTAGAACAGAGCCCCTATTGACCCTGGGGAGGTCCTCGGGCATAAGGAGGGAAGTGCCCAGTGTAGGATTGAGCTGAAGCCTCCCTCTGTAGCTCAGGGAACCTCACATCCTCAAAGACAAAGGTGGGACACAGGGGGGAGCACCCTTCTTCCTACACATGGCCTAACCCAGTCCATCCGATTTGCCTTTCTAAGGGAAAGCTGATTTCTATGTCCTTGGGCCTGGAGAACCTCTTCTGGCCATAGTGGGGGAAGACACAGAGTTGCCATGTAGAATGTCCCCCAACATCAGCGCTGAGGGCATGGAGCTGAGGTGGTACAGGGACCAGCCCTCCCCAGCCGTGCACTTGCACAAGAATGGGGAAGATGTGTTTGAAGAGCAGATGGTGGAGTACCAGGGAAGAACAACTTTTATGAGCGACCATATGGCCAGGGGTGAGGCCATGGTGAGGATACACAATGTCACCGTGTTTGATAATGGAACATATCACTGCCTCTTCAAGGAACACACATCTTACAGCAATGCCACCTTCTGGCTGAAGGTAGCAGGTAATGGTCGACATATAGGTCATCTGGTCTACTGGGGGGGCCTCTCTCACAGAATCAGCTCCAGTTCCAGACTGTGACCTCAATGGCTGGAGAAACTCCCATGACACAGGCTTCCAAGCAAATTCATTTTCCCACAGGCTGTATACATTGCATGTCCCCCCTGGAATGGAGTACTGAATGAACAGCTGTTTTCTAATCTTCCTTTCCTTCATTATACCATTACACTGGAAAAAGAGGGAAGATAGTGAGAGAGAGAAAGAAACAGAGACACACAGAGAGAGACACAGAAAAAGACCCAGAGAGATGCAAAGAGAGACAGAGGTGGAAAGATGAAGAGAGACAGAAACAGGAAGAAATGATGAGGGAGAAATAAGACAAAGAGAATGAGAAAGTGAGGGAGAGAAAGAAACAGAGAAAGACAAAGACAGACACAAGGACAGAGATACAGAAGCAGAAAAAGAGGGACAGAGAAGGAGACAGAGGCAGAGAGAGAACAAAACAAAGAAGGAGGGAAGGGAAGAGAGAAGGAGACAGAGAGAGAGAAACCGAATATGTAGAAAAGTTTTCCTAGGTAACTCTGACTTTGTCTGTTGGAGTCACACCAACCCCAATTCCTTCCTATTACCTGTACTCACTAATTGTGTGACAGGAAATTCAGTTAATCTTCCTGAACCTTTTCTGTTTCATTTTGTTCTGTTTTATTCAAGAAGTAAGGGTACTATGTTAAGGATATACTATTACACAGAGCAGATAATTTGTGAAAATTTGCTAGTATCTACTAAAATTCTTCAAGCCTTTTATTTTCTTTTTTAATGAAAGCAGCTATGGCTGCAAAGATTCAAGCTAATGTCTCCTCTTTCAGGGCTGGGATCAGCACCCAGAATCCGAGTGACCAACAATCACGACAAAGGTATCCAGGTAGAGTGCACCTCGGCAGGCTGGTACCCAGAGCCCTGGGTAGAGTGGAGGGACCTCAGGGGACAGATGATGCCTGCTGTGACCCATTTCTCAGTGTTGGACACCAGTGGCCTCTTCACTGTGGTATCTAGTGTGGTACCCCAAGACGGAATTACAGAGGGTCTGACTTGCTACATCTCCAACCCCCTCCTCTCTGAGAGCAAAGTGGCAGAGAGCAGCTGGCCCAGTGAGTATTCTGTTCAGTTCTGTTCTCAAAATCATTAAGTACTGGTGTCCATGGCCCTGGACACCAGGGACATTACAAGACAGTGGTGGGGCTCAAAGCAAGAGTATGGTTGGTTGGTCTCTGTCCACAGCATGATTGGGGAGTCATAGGGAGACACATGGTTTGTGTGTTGATTTCCAAGGTGAAGCAGAAGTTAGGATGCAGGAAAAGCACCCCAGAAGAGCTTTGTATTACTGTAGGAGCAAGAAAGGTGCACCCCAATACTGATTTTCTGAAAGTTTTGCTGGGTTATTTTCAGAGGGGTTTTTTGCGGTTTGTTTTTGGCAGTACTGGGGTTTGAACTCAGGGCCTCACACTTATTAGGCAGTCTTTCTACCACTTGAGCCACTTCACCAGCCCTTTATTGTGTTGGCTACTTTCAAGATAGGGTCTTTTGAACTACTTGCCCAGGCTTGCCTCAAACCTCAATCTTTCTGATCTCTATCTCCCAAGTTGTAGGATTACAGGCATGGGCCACTGGCAATCCACTGCTTGGTTTTTCGTTTTGTTTTACAAAATAAACTACTTTCTAGAACAGTTTTAGTTTACAGCAAATTTGAGCATAACATATGTAGATTTTCCATCTATCCCTAACATACCTTTCCCTAGTAGAAAAGTCCTGCACCGGAGAGGAACATTTGTTGTGATGGACTCACCTCTATAGGGACATCATTGTTACCCGGGGTCAGAGTTTGCATTAGGACTTACTCTTGGCATTGGATGCCTTGTGGATGTAGACAAATGCATCATGACATGCGTCCAGCCTCACAGTGTCCTACAGAGTAGCTTCCCTGCCCTCAAAGTCCTCTGTGCTCACCTATTCATCCTCCCTCTCCCAACTCCTGGAAACTACAGGTCTTTTTATGCTTCCTATTGTCATATTATGGAAATCACAGTCACACAGGAAGTAACCTTTTCAGGCTGTTCTCTTTTACTTGATAATATGTATTTAAGGTTCCTCCATGTTTTTCATTAATTGATAAATCATTTCTTTTGAGGACTCAATAATATTCCATTGTCTGGATGAACCATAGTTTATTTATTCATTTAACTACCTAAAGGGTATGTCTCTTTTTTAATTTATTATTTTTATCATATTATTATTGTATCAGAGTACATCATGACATTTACAAAAGTTCTTACAATATATCATAGTTGAATTCACCCCTCCTTATTTTTTTAATTTTTTTTTTTGGCAGCACTGGGGTTTGAACTCAGGACTTCATTATTTGGTAGGCAGGTGCTCTTACACTGAGCCACTCTACCAGCTTAACTTCTCATTAAAAGTTTTATTTTTAGTCAGGCTCTGGTGGCTCATGCCTATAATTCTAACTACTTGGGAGGCAGAGATCAGGAGGATCAAGGTTCCAGGCCAGCTGTGGTTAAACGTGAGACCCTATCTGAGAAATACCCACCACACACACAAAAAAGACTGGCAGAGGGGCTCAAGTGGTAGAGTGCCTGCCCAGCCCTGCCCTGGCCCTGAGTTCAAGTACCACTAATACCAAAAAAAGTTTTATTTCTAAATGATGTCAAACTTACAGATAATTTGCAAGAATAATATGAAAGTCTTTGCATCCTTTACCCAGATTCATCACATTTTAGACATTTTGCCATATTTGGATTTTTTGTTTGTTTTTTGTTTTTTGTGTGGGGGACTGGGGTTTGAACTCAGGGCTTCAAGCTTACAAAGCAGGCATTGTACTGCTCAAGCGATGCCTCCAGTCCATTTTGCTCTTTTTATTTTAGAAAAAGGGTCTTGTGAACTTTTTGCCATGTCTGGCCTCAAACCACAGACCTCCAATCTCAGCCTCCCAAGTAGCTAGGATTATAGACATGAGCACTGGTGGCTGAATACATTTTTTATCACTTCTCTCTCTGTTTATGTATAAATAGGTAGCTATCTAATATCTATATACTATGTATACATCTACACCCAACTGTCACAGTCCATTCTAGCAGCTATAACATATACTCTGGCCAGGGTGGCTTGTGAACCACAAACATGTATTACTCACAGTCCTGGAAGCCAGAAGTCCAAGGTTAAGGAGTGGCAGATTCCATGTCTGATGAGGTCTACTTCCTGGTTTATACACAGTCCTTCTCTGTGTGTCTTTACATGGAGGAAAGGACAGGGAGTTTCCTGGGGTCCCTTTTATAAGGCCACTAATCCTTTTCATGAGGCACCACCTCTCATGACTATCATAACTCAAAGGTCCCACGTCCTAATACCATCACCTAGAGAGTTAGGATTTCAACATGTGAATGAGGGATACACAAACATTCAGACTATAGTGCCATATATTCAAATACATCTATTTTTCCTAAACTCTTTCTGAATACTTTGTAAATATTATGTCCCTCAACCTATTGGTCCTGTGATGTGTATATACGAAGAACAAAGGCAATCTCTCACCTGCTCTTCTTGATGCCCTGGAATCTTCTCAGCTTCTCTCTCCGGAAGGCCTCAGTTAACAGAATGGAGACTAGCTCTGCCTTTGATCCTCATTGCACTTGGACTTGTAATGGCTGGAGTCATCTGTCTCTTTGGGAAACATCAGAGGGAAGAACTCAGGACACAGCTAGAAGAAGATACAGAGCAAGGGGGAAAAGAGCAGAAGCAGCCAGGAAGCTGGGCTGAAGCTAAGCTATTCCATGGTGAGTGGGAGTCCTTAATAGAACAGGACCTGTCCCCACAAACTAGGGACCTGGATACCAAGCCCAATAATGAGGTGTTTCCTGTGTCCTCAAACACAGCAGGAATAGAATGACAAGTGATTTCATCTGTGGAATTGCCCAATTACAAACTCGGTGAAGATCCTTTATTTCTGAGAGATACCTTCATTGGTTATTCTTCACTAGATAATTCTGGGCGGATTGGTTGGCCTTCCTCTTGGGCATATCTGAGCTTGAACCTTGTTTTAGTCCTTTTTCCATTACTATAACAAAATACCTGGACTGGGTAATGTATAAAGAAAAAAGATTTACATATCTCACAGTTCTGAAGGATAAAAATCCAAGATAAGTTGGCCCCATCAGTTTAGATCTAGTACGGGTCCCTAGGCTGCATCACATCATGGCAGATGGCATCATAGCAGGAGAATGTACAAGAGATCACACAGCAAGACAGGGAGTAAGAAGGACTCAGGAATCAGGCTCACTCTTTTTTTTATTGGTAGGAGTGGGATTTGAACTCAGGGCTTCTTTGAGCTTGCAAAGCAGGCCCTTCACAACTTGAGCCATGACTCCAGTCCATTTTTCTCTGGTTATTTTAGAGATGGGGTCTCAGGAACTATTTTCCCAGATAACCTCAAACTGTGCTCTCCCCATCTCAGCTTCCAAAAATAACTAAGATTACAGGTATGAGTCACCTGTGCCCAGCTTAGCTGGAGTTTTGATAATAGAAGACAGTGGATTCTATCAAGCCAATGGGAGTGAGATTTCAGGAAATGATGAATTTCTGGGAATCTCATCTGAGGCCCCTGCACAAAACACAAAACAGCATTCAGGGCTTGAAAACATGGTGGGGGTGGGGAGAGGTGTACTTGTTAAAAAGGAGGCTTAGAGACTGCTGGGCCTAGTGGACCCAGGTCCTCCACTTAGCTGGAACACAAAGGGACCCCTCTGCCCCGGTCATGTTCAGCCAGGTAGGGCTGCTAGGGGGCTGGACAATGCCACTCTCTGTCCCTGTTTGTCACCAAATATCTCTCTCAGTCCCTCTCTCCTTCTGTCTCTCAGTCTCTCAAAGTCTTCCTGTCTCAGTGTGTATCTCTTCTGTCTCTCAGTCACTCTGTCTCTCTCATACACACAGAACAAGAACATTCTGAACTGAACTCAGTGTGCACACTAGAAGCTGACTAAAGCCATGCCATGCATGCGATCAAGTTCATACCTCCTCAGGAATCCTTCGGCCCTGCCTTCCAACCTGGTGTGTCCCCCTGCAGATAAGCTATTTGGACAAGCCCCTAACACAGGACATAGAGACAGAAAAATGGATTCCTAGAGATGAAGGGACACAATGATGCAAGAGACAAGCCCTGGGACCCCTAATTCATGCAAGGACACAGGGGCAAGCCCCAGTGCTTAACCCTCTCCTCTTTCCACAGTGAGCCCATCCCTGGACCCCAATACCGCAAGCCCCAAACTCATGGTGTCTGAGAATCAGAAAAGTGTGAAGCGGCTGCTCTTTGAGCAGGACCTGCCCCTCAATTCCAGGAGATTTGACCAGGACCCCTGCATCATGGCCCATGAGCGGTTCTGGACTGGACGATATTACTGGGAAGTAGAGGTGGGAGACAGGAAAGCTTGGACTCTGGGTGTGTGTCTGGAGAGTTTAGGTCGGGTGGGAAGGATCCCCAAGTCCCCCCAGCATGGCCTCTGGGCAGTGGAGTTTTACAAGAAGAGATTCTGGGCTCTCTCCTATCCCAGGACTCCTCTCTCTCCTCCCCAGCCTTTCCGCAGGGTGGGTATTTTCTTGGACTGTGATGGTGGGGAGATCTCCTTCTACCACGTGACTCATGGTACCCTGGTCTACACGTTCTCCACACTGTCTTTTCCTGGTGCTCTGCAACCATTCCTTTGCCTATGGACTCATGACCCCATCCCTCTGACCCTCTGCCCAGTGGTTGGAGAGACCCAGAAAGACAAGGGGCCCCCTGGAGATCCCTGACTACCCCTGAGAACTCCTGGAACTTCAATAAGGAGAAAGCAGTAGGGATTTTAACTCAGGGTCTCACACTTGCTCAGTAGGCACTCTACCACTTTAACCACAACCCCCAGCCCTGGTGATATTTATTATATTCCTATGTAAAAGCATGGCAATATATCAGTGGCTGAATTGTGCCCATTCCCCAAAATTCATATGCTGAATTCCTAACTCCCAAGACTCAAAATGTGGCTGTATTAGGGACTTTTAAAGAAGAAATTAAAGTAAAAATCGGTGGGGTAGATACTAACCCTATAAGTCTGGTGTTCCTATCAGAAGAGATCAGGACACAGACACACAACACAGGAAAGACACTGGAGGACTCAGCAAGGTACCATCTACCAGCCAGAGGACTTCAGAGGGAAACAACCTTAATCTCAGATTTCCAGTCTCAATGACTGTGAGGCAGTAATTTCCTGTTGTGTGAGTCTCCAGCTCTGTAGTACTTTGCTATGTCAGTCTTTGATGAGTAGGACTATGCAAAAATAAGCATACCACTGGTTACTTTTTGACATGTGCTTAGAGGCATATGTAAAATATCCAGTTCAGTGCCAGACATGTAGTAGATACACAATAAAAGTCAATCCTCCCCTCTTCTTCTCTTCCTCCTTTATCATTTTGGCCATCTTTCTCTCCTCCCCTCTTCCTCTTCTCCTTTCACCTCTTCCTCTTCTTCCTTCTCCTCCTCCTTTTCCCCCTCCTCTTCCCTCTTCAAATCTCTGGTTTACCTGGAATATCTCTCCCTTCCTCACCATGACAGGTTAGCACAAGCCAGGCAGAGCCAAGCCAAATACCTCAGGATTCCTAACCTTGACCTTAGCATTGATCAGAGTTCAGTCAGGACCTGCAGTTGACAGACAGAACAGACTAGAAGTGAGTGTTAATAGGCATTGAAGAACCTAGAAGACAAGTACACGAAGAAATCATAAAACCACCTCTCAACCACCAGAACAGTCATTCCCATGGGTGAGGGCAGAAAGGGGTTCAGAGGAAGAACCTGGGAGGTAAGGGGTGCTGCTCAGGGCACCTCAGGGTGGCTGGTTCTGTAAGTGCTGGGAAAATACCATCTGTCAAGTGCTGTGAGGCTGGTGGCTCCAAGAGGGATAATCACAATGGTCCCCCCAGTCTTAACACTCCCTTTTGCTTCCTATTGCAAGATCTAACAGAGATTAATGGATGTAAGTTTTATGGGGTCCAGGCCCCCACTCCAAGGAGATTTAGGGCTAGTGTTCGGTTCCCTGGAATTGCCAGAGTAAAGTACAACACACTGGGAACCTTAAAACTACATGTGATTGTTCTTCCTCAGTCCTGGCAATCAGAAATCTAAAATCGAGGAATCAGAAGGGTTGGTTTTCCCTGAAGGGTATGAAGGAGAATCCATTCCATGCCTTTCTCCCAGTTTCTGGTGGCTGCCTGTCATCCTTGTCTTGTAGAAGCAACACTCTAAATGCTGCCTCTATTTTATGGTCATCTCTCTGTGTCTCTCTGTGTTTAAAACCTCCCCAACCTTTCTCTCAAGACACAGCCATTGTACTTAGGACCCACCCAAACGCAGGAGGATCCCCTCTTGAGATACATACTTTAATTGCAACTGCAAAAACCTCTTTTCCAAATAAGATCCTAGTTACAGGTGCCAGGAGTTAGGACTTGGATGTATTTGGGGGGAGGGTGTCTTCAACCCACCATAGTGAGTATGGAGCTTAATGGTACTGACTGAATAGTAAGCATATCTTTCCTCAGAAGAGTGCCTCCTCAGAATGGGGAGAATGTGGTGACTGAGGACCCTGTAGCAATTTTGGAGAGATATTCCTTTGGAGAGACAAGTTCCTCAAACAGAAATAAGAAACACCTAATGTTTCAGGTTCATAGCCCAAATCACAAATTTAGCTAGTTAATGAAGTGGCCAAAAATGCCATGGACACAGGTGGCTCCCGAGTTGGGCTTTGGAGAGAGGCTGGGATTTACATGTAAAGAAATAGGGGAAGATTAGACAGAAAAGCCCTCTTCTTGCCATCTCCAAATTATGGTACTCACTTCAACGTCAGGGTGACATATATGTATTTTTAATTTTTTTTCTCTTTATTATTGTGATACTTACATGTAATAAATTTGCTAGTTTAAGAGTATAGTTTGATGAATGTTGGTCATTGTATGCAATTATGTAATGGTACCATCAAGAGATTGGGTTTTTCCTCACTGTTGGAATTTGATCCCTGTACCCCACCCCCACCCCATGCAATCACTGATCTGCTCTGTACAGTTTTTGTTTTGTTTTTTACTTATTCTTGGTCTTAACTTGTAATAAGTCCATTTAAATTCAGGGAATTAGTCATTTCATTGCGTTTAGTACTACCATCTTGGTTTTCTATTTGATACATCTGCTTTATGCTCACTTTTTACCTATTTTGGAGTTTTAAATAAATTATAAATAAATGGTATCAAACAGTACAACACTTGTGTGTTTGACTTCTGCATTAGTCCATTTTCTACTGGCAAAACAAAATACCTGCAACTGGGAAACTTAGAAAGAAAAACAGGTTCACAGTTTTGTAAGATGAAAGTCCAAACAGCATAGCACTAGCTCTGATGAGGGCTCTCTGAATATACCCCATCATGACTGGTGACACTATGCCAGGAACATAAGTGAGAGGAGACCACATGGTGAGACAGGAAGCCAGGGGGTAGAGAGGGACCAGGCTTGTCTTTTCATTTTTTTTGCCCTTCCCCTCCCTCCCTTCCTTTCTCCCCTCCCTCCCTCTCCTTCCTTCTTGCTTTTTGTGGTACTAGGGTTTGAATTCAGGGCTTCATGCTTACTAGGCAGGCACTCTACCACTTGAGCCACACCACCAGCCCCAGGCTCACTCTTTTATGACAACTCACTTTTGTGAGAACTAACTCAAGACTAACATGATTCCTTCTGAGGGTGGTGCCCCAGTGAAGATGATTATCTTCTATCTTAAAGTTGTTTTTATCAGCCATTTTGTCACAGCAACAGAAAGTAACTAATATAAGAGTTATATGTAACTTGATTGTTTTCTAGAATGGCTTAACCTCCCAACAGATGTGAGTTCTGTGTGTTCCACATTCTTGCCCACATTGCAGCCATGATGGTATTTCTGTCTTCGTTAATTTTAGCTATGATAGCGCACATGGGTATTGGTATTGCATTTAGTGTTCAATCAGCATTTCTCTATTGACAAGCAAAACTGAACATTTTTTCATGTGCTTACTAGTCATTCACATATCTTTTTTTTTTTTTTACAAAGTACCTATTCAAATTATTTGTCCACTTCTTAAATGGTTTGTTTGCTCCTTATGATTGAATTATATTTTGGGTTTTTTTTTTTTTTTTTGGTAGGACTGGGGTTTGAACTCAAGGCTTCAGATTTGCAAAGCAGGTTCTCCCCCACTCAAGCCATACCTCCTTATGATTGAATTGTAAGAACTCTTTATGTGCTCTGGATACAAGTCCTTATTTAATATGTATTTTGCAAAACTGTTCTGCCAAGATGCAGCTGCCTTTTTTATTTTCTTAATTATATATATACATGGTAGGGATCAGCATGAAGGAAATAAGAAGGTATTGGTTACAAAGCAAAAACTGCCAGTTTTAAAATGAAAATGCTCTGGAGACCTACTATACTGTGCAGTGACTCTTGTTCATAACAATGTATTATACACTTGAAATGGTCAAGAGAGTAAATATAGTATTTTGTGGTATTTTCACCACCAAAAACATGTTAGCTATGAGGTTAAGGGTATTAATTAGCTTGATTTAATAATCATTTCACAATGTATACTTAAATAAATCATTATGTTGTACACTTTAAATACATAAAATTTTCCTTGCCAATTATACCTCAATAAATTTGGAAAAGATAAAACTTCCCCATATAACAAAAAAGCAAAGATTCTTTTTTCCTCCATTTTTAAAATGTTATGATACCTGCTTTTTTGTGTTTTGCTTAAGAATTTGTCATTTAATCCAATGTCACTAAGATTTTCTTCTGCATTTTCTTCTACATGTGTGATAGTTTTAGCTCTTACAATTAGGCCTGCGATTCACACTGACTTGGTTCTCATGTACAGTGCAAGGTGAAGGTTGAAGCTCATCCTATAAAATACAGCCATAGAGCTATACCAGCACCTTTTTTTTTTTGGTGATGCTGAGGTTTGAACTCAGGCACTTACTAGGCAAACGCTCTACCACTTGAGCCACTCCACCAGCCCCACCAGCACGATTTGTTGGAAAGTTTGTGTTGCCTTAATTTTTAAATTTTTTTAAACTTTTGTTTTGAGATCATAGTAAATTCACTTGCATTTGTAAGAAATAAACAGAGATCCTTCAAGTACTTTGACATCTTGCAGAACTATAGTACAATGTCACAATGTGGGTGTTGACATTTCCCTCATCATTAAGATCTCTCACATTTCTTTTACTAACAATTTTTAGAGCACATTTAGGTTCACAGAAAAGTTGAAAGGTACAGGGACTTTCCATCTATCCCCTGTCCCACATGTGTACAGTTTCTCTCATTATCAACACTCCCCCATCAGAGGATACTTTTTTTGTTTTGTTTTTACAAATGATGATCCTACTTTGGCACACCATTGTCCAAGTCCATAGTCTGTAATAGGGCACAATTTTGGTACTGGATATTCTATGGATTTGGACAAAGGTATAATGACATGTTTACCATTACAGTGTCATTCAAAATAGTGTGCCCTGCCTACTCATCTCTCCCACCCTACTAATCCTGGCAATCACTGATCTTTACATTGTCATCATAGTCTTGGTGTTTCCAAAATTTTATATACTTGGAATCATAAAGGATTTAGCCATTTCAGAGGAGCTCTTCTTTTACTTAATAATATGCATTTTGGTTTCATCTTTGTGTTTTTGTGGCCACATAGCCCATTTCTTTTAAGCACTGTATAATATTCTATTACCTATATGTACCACCACTTATCCACTCACCTACTGAAGGACAACTAGGTTGCTTTCAAGTTTTGGGCAACTGTTGATAAAGCACACATACAAACATATGTGTGTGGATTTTGTGTAAATACAAGTTTTCAATTCAT